CATCTGATAGAGCAGTGAACACAGTCTCCTTAAAAAGTCATATTCAGAATTTGGTCCTCGATTCATGGGCCATGCGCATCAAGACGCCCAGGAGTTCCTTTGTTATCTTTCAGAAAGTTTACATGATGAAGATAATAGAATGGGAAACCTAAACCTATCTTAACGGAGATTAACGAAATATTGAGCGACAGCGAAAAGCACAAGAGTCATAGCTGATTTATTTGAGTACATATCACATAAGATTGTAGATAATTTCGTTAGTCAATTAAAATCCACGATGAAGTGCACACACTGTGGATACTCATCTGTAACCATCGATCCTTTCTGAGATTTGTCACTCCCCATACCACAAAGAACTGGCCAATTGAGTTTATCTCAATGCTTGGAGGAAACTTTGGATGGATATGCAAATCCAACGTATTCAAGTTGCAAAGAAAGAAGAAAATGCACGAAGTCCCTATCAATCCATGTGTTTCCCCATATTCCACTCATTTATTTTGAAAGATTATCTCTAACAGAAAGATTTTTTTGCGACATCAACTGCTGGGTTATTAGCCGAGGATATAAAGAAAATAATCACAAAGTATGGTTTACATCATCGAATCACCATGCCTTACACACCTGAACAGAATGGGGCTGCAGAACGAGAAAACCGAACTCTCGTTGAAGCTGCACGAACCATGTTACATGCGAAAAATTTTCCTGAATACCTTCGAGCAGAAGCGGTTAATACTGTTGCATACGTTTTGAATAGAACTGGTCCCACATTGACAGAAGGTATGACACCTATGATGATTTGGATAGGAAAACAAGCTCCTGTGGATCATTTGAAAATTTTCGGGACAGAAAGTTTTGTTCATGTTCCGAAACAGAAACGTTCCAAATGGGAATGGAAGAGTGAGAAAGGTTATCTGGTTGGATATATCGAAGATAAAGATGGATATCGAATATGGTTAACTGACAGAAACGACGTTGTTCGAAGTCGTGATGTTATTTTCAAAAAGGAAATAGCTGTCAAAGAAAGCACTGTCATATTTGAAGACACTGTCGCAAGTATAAGTTCCGAGAAGCAATCAGTATCAATTGATGAAGGTACTGCTTCGAGTGAAATGGAATCAGAAACATGCATCAGTCTGCCAGTTAATCGTCCTATTCTCCGAGATAAATCTAAATTACGAAAACCTGAAAGAAACGATGCTTTTGCTATGCTTGCTGTAGAAGAACCCAATACTGTTGACGCGGCCTTCTCATGTAATGAATCTGAGATGTGGAAAAAAGCAATGGGAGAAGAAATGCAGTCGCTAGTAGAAAATGACATCTGGATATTAGTGGAAAAGCCTATTGGAAGAAAAATCATTAAAAATCGTTGGGTATTCACAGTTAAAAAAAACCCAGAAGGAGATATTAGATTTAAGCAAGTTTAGCTGCAAAAAGTTTTTCTCAAGAAGCTGGTATTGACATTGATGATACTTTTGCACCAGTTGCTCGATTTGATACCATAAGAACAGTTTTACCAATGTCTGTTTCCGAAAATTTGCACTTGTCACAATTTGATGTGGAGACGGCCTTTTTATACGGATGACTAGACGAAGAACTGTATATGAAGCAACCGGAACAACGGTACTGATAAGGTATGTAAGTTACTGCATAGTCTGTATGGTTAAAAACAGGCACCTCCTTGTTGGAATTTGCGCTTCACCTAATTTCTGAAGAAAAAAGCGTAAATTTTCGTTTTGAGGACAGCCGGCGATTTTGATAAAAATTCTGCGTGTACTTACGTATTTTGATGCGCAGATTACGAATCCGAAAGAAAAAAGCGGCGCTCTCCCTTATTCACAAACTTACGGCCATTCAAAGTTCAGAAAATGGCAACTTTTCAGCCTTCTTTTTCACAAAATGAACTATTTAAAAACACAAGCATCTATTCACTGGGTCACCTTTACACCTTATTCCTCCTTCTTTGACACTTTTCACTTCAATAATCAACATTTTTCCAATAAAAATGTTAAAAAATGTACGGAGCTTTTGGTTAGGTACATATCTCTGTATTTTACGTTTTCAAGGTAAATGGCATGGTTGGAACGACTGATGCAGTCCATATTCCCAAAGTAATTCAAGTATTTTTTACCTTCATTCTTTAGATCGTGAATTGGTTTTTGGTGGCGTATTACGAATTTGAAATAGAAGGCGGTGGCAAATACCAACCGCTTTTTACTGATGTCACTAGTAACTAACCTAAAAATAGAATAATGTTACCAGAGTAGCATTCGTTTTTAAATTAAGTTTCTTATAAGGAGAATGTTGATCATTGAAGTGGGAAGTGTCAAAGAAGGAGGAATTGATAGATTTTACTATATTGCCTCTATTCTATTTTTACTGTTTTGAATAATATAAAATGATACTGCGGAGCAATCATCAAAATTACTACTTTTTATTATCTGTCATACAACTGACTTTTTACCAACCATACAATTTTACCAACTATACAATACAAAACTAAACTACAATCAGTAGATAACGACACTATGATTCAGAAATTATTATTTCAGCTTTCTATTTTAACACCTTCTCTTAATAGTTACTGAATCATTGGGTCAAATTAACAATATAAAAGTAATTCAACAAAAGGACAAATACATAAAGTTATTCCGGAATACCACACATCAATGTATTCCTGAATCTTTGAAATTTGTTTACATCCAAAGGTTTTGTGAATATATCAGCAGTTTGCATGTCAGTTGAACAATACAAAATACTTATTAAACCTTCTTTGATTTTCTCATTTATGAAATGGAACCTAACGTCTATGTGCTTAGAACGTTTATTTCACTGATTATTTTCAATTATTTTTATAGCACTTTGATTATCCACGTTCAGTTTTATTCTCACTTGAACCTTTGTGACTTCTTCAATTGAATGTTTCAAATATACCAGTTCCTTGACACACTCTGCAGCAGCAATGTATTCTTCTTCAGTACTGGATAGTGATACTATTGGCTGTTTTCTTGAACACCAAGAAATAGGGCCACCACAAAACATGATTACATAGCCTGAGGTGCTTTTTCGTGTTTCAGTGTCACCCGCAAAGTCACTGTCACTGTAAGCAGTTATTTCATTTATTCCATATGTTGCGCAATATGCAATACCTAGATTTTTTGTTCCTTTCAGGTATCGGAGCACTCTCTTCATATTGGATATATCTTTATTTGTTGGATTTTCCATTCTTCTACTTCCATATCCCACAGCATATGAGATGTCAGGGCGAGTTTTGTTTGAAAGGTAAAGCAAACTTCCTATTAAGTTTCGGTAGGGAAAGTTTGTGTTAAATACACTTTCGTCTTTTGTATCAGTCGCTAGAGGTGTTTTAGCCGGTTTCGCATTTTCCATATCAAATGATTTCAAAACATTATTTACATAATTTTCTTGACTTATGATTATTGAATCTGCTTTCTTTTCAATTTCTAGACGAAGAAAGAATTTCGGATTATCTTCTGAAACAGTTTCGAATTTTTTGTCTAAGTTTTTCAAGAGATCATTCATTTCTTCTTCATTCTGTCCGATCAATATTCCATCGTCCACGTATATGGCAAGCATAAGTGAACCGGTATCATTTAAAAATATGCAGTTCTCACTTTTGAGAATGCGAAGCCCGTTTAGTCTCAAAAAATTGGTAAAAGTTTTATTCCACTCTAACGGGGCCTGTTTTAGGCCATAAAGGGATTTTTTGAGTTTGCATACCTTGTTTTCTTCGGAATAGCCTTCTGGTATCTTCATATAGATCTCTTCAGACAATTCTCCATAGAGAAATGCAGTTTTTACATCAAATTTTTTGATAATATAGTTGTTGTGAGCTGCTAATGCAAATAAAATTCTCAAAGAGCTCATATTTACCACGGGACTGAATGTTTCTTTGTAATCCAGACCATATTTTTGCTCACAGCCTCGTACGACAAGTCTCGCTTTGTATCTTCCGTTTTCTTTCACTTTGAAAACCCATTTACTCGACAAAATCCTCTTATCTTTCACTTCATGTTCATTCACGAACACCCATGTGTTGTTTTTCTTTAGTGATTCTTTTTCGTTTTCTATTGCTTTCAACCATTTGTCTTTTTCTTCACTATTTATTGCTTCTTCATAAGTTAAAAGTACATAATCATCGTATTTTTTGGTGCTCTTACATCTCTTCCTCTGACTGTTGTTTGGCCTTCTCTGAATCTTAACATTTCATTGCTTTCATAAAATTCTTCTTCAGTCTTTAAATTCTGTGTCTGAGTTTATCAAGATATCATTCATTTCTTCTTACCTAATTCTGTTCAATCAATATTCCATCGTTAACGTATATTGCAAGCATAAGTGAACCGGTATCATCTGAAAATATGCAGTTCTTACTTTTGAGAATGTGTAGTATGTTTTGTCTCAAAAAATTGGCGAAAGTTTTATTTCACTCTAAGGGGGCCTGTTTTAGGCCATAAAAGGATTTTTTGAGTTTGCATATCTTGTTTCTTTCCGAATAGCCTTCTGGTATCTTCATACAGATCTGTCAGACAATTCTCCATAGAACAATTCAGTTTTTGCATAAATTTTTTTATAAAATAGTTGTTGTGGTTTGCTAATGCAAATAAACTCAAAGAGATCATATTCACCACGGGACTGAATGTTTCTTTGCAATCCAGACCATATTTTTGCTCACAGCCTCGTACGACAAGTCTCGCGTTGTATCTTCCGTTCTCTTTTACTTTAAAAACCCATTTACTCGACAAAAACTTCTTATTTTTCACTTCATGTGCATTCACAAACACCCATGTGTTGTTTTTCTTTTGTGATTCGTTTCCGTCTTCTACTGCTTTTAACAATTTGTCTTTGGTGCTCTTACATCTCTTCTTCTGACAGTTGGTTGGCCTCCTCTGAATCTTAACATTTCGAAGCTTTTATAAAATTCTTCTTCAATCTTTGTTTCTTCTCTATTTTCTGGGTCCGATTCGTAATTTGATACCAAATCGTTATTCTCGTTTACTTGTTTTTTCTGGATCTGTCAATTTCTTACGTTCATCATCTACCCATTCTATATTTATTTTCAATACATCCTTTTCATCCAGTGAGTTGCTATCAATCTTGTCTTCAAAAATAACAACTATATGTATAATTATTTTTCCTTCTTCATTGTCCCACAAATGGTATCCTGTTGGGGGAATATCCAATGAAAATATACTGTTTACTCCTTGCGTCTAGTTTCTTCAAAGAACGAAGTACCTTTGCATGTGCTTCACACTCAAATAAGTGCAGATCTGGCAAATTTGGTACTTTATTTGTCCATTTCTCAGCTGGTGTTTCATTTACCGTTTCAGTTGGACATCCATTCAGCAGATAAACAGCAAATCTCACAGCTTCGCCCTAAAAACCTTTATCAAGGCCAGAGTCAACGACTAACGCTCTTGCCTTTTTGCCTTTTTCATAATTGTTCTATTCAATCTCTCGGCTTCTCCATTGAGCTGTAGAGAGTGGGGTATTGTGGTGTCCATGATGGTTTCCTTATATTTGTACCAATTTCTGAGGTCAGAGTCAATATATTCACCTCCATTATCACTTCTTATTTTTGATACTTTAAGATTATGGTAAGCTTCTACTTCAAGTACATATTGTTTCAGATAATCTGAAACTTCTCACTTATTTTTCAATAAGTAAACCATAGTGAAGTGGGTAAAGTCATCTAAGAAGGTTAAAAGGTACCTTTCATTATCCCAAGTAACAGGATCAATTGGTCCACACAAATTCGTATGGATTATTTCAAGTGGTCTCACTGCTCTTGATCTGATTTTGTTGAATGGAAGTCGTGTTTGTTTTGCTTCCATATATGTTTCACATGGTTTGCCTATTTTTTCACAGTCTGCTTTTCAGTGATTGCGTTGACTGAAATAAGGTTTTTACTTAGTTCTGGGATGTAAAGAACATCATTTAAAACACAGTCATTTCCTTCAATGGAGCCAATACCAAAACTTTTCATATCTTCACCTTTTTTAGCAACTAATATTTTGGATGTAGTTTCTTCCAAATCATTGAATATTTTTTATATCATTACACATGTGACTTGACGACCCTGAATCTACCACAAAATTTTTCAATGCTTCTTATGTTTTTATTTCGCCTTCTGTCAAAAATGCAACTTTTCTGTCGTCTTTCCTTTTTCGAAAAAAACAATCTTCTTCAACATGATTGTTTTTTTTACAGATGGAACAGTTCCTCCGCTAATTTTCAGTATTTTTCGTGCACGTTAGTTTTGTGAGTGTTCTATCTGAGCTCGGAGAAGAGTCCCAAGCAGTGTTGAAATATTTGAAACGTTCTGGTAGCGTTGATAAAATTTTAGACATTACCATTTCATCGTCAATGTTTTGTTTCAAATTCTTGAGTCGGTATGCCAAGTTTTCAATTTTGCTTATATGAAGTGAAATGTCTGAACCCTTTGTATAGGAGAAGTTGAAGAATTCTCGTAGAAGGGTGCATTTCTGATCTTCCGAGTCCTTTTCATAGATGTTGTGTGGTTTTTGATACATTTCATATGATGTTTTGCAGTTTAATATATGCATTAATATTTTTTTATCGACTGTTGTGATTATTACTCTTTGACCTTTGGCGTCCATCGGTAATATTTTCTGCCAATAATTCTTCATTAACTATTTCCCAAATGCCTTGTGACTTGAAGATTACTGTAGTTTGAAATTTCCATAATTGAAATGATTCACCATCACTCAGTTTTTCAATCAATGACAACTCTTCCATTGTCGTGTTGTTGGCGGCCATTTTTCGATATTATAGTTCTTACTTTTTGTCGTTTTTCACGTTTTAGTTTTTCAGATCGCTTCCACGATTTACTTTTGGAGCATCTGGGCCCATAACCTGATAGATTTTACAATTTTGCTCCTATTCTATTTTTACTGTTTTTGGATAAAATAAAATAATACTGCGAAGCAACCATCAAATCACTACTATTTTATTTTCTGTCGTTCAACTAACTTCACCAACCATCCATTTTACCAACTGTTCTACATAAAACTAAACTAGGAAACATATGATCGAACTACATTCAGTAGATAACGACAATATAATGATTCAGAAATTATTATATCAGCTTATTATTTTAACAGAGCACCTCCTCACTATGTTGCTCCGGTAAGAGAGTTTTTAGATGACCGGTTTCCTGGACGGTGGATTGGAAGGAGAGGCCCCACGAATGACCTGCCAGGTCACCTGATTTATCGCCTTTAGACTTTTTCCTTTGGGGGCACTTTTGAGTCCATAGAAGATCTTTGCCAACGAATTACAGCAGAGTGCAGAAGTATAACACCTGATATGCTACAGAATGTTTGAACAAAATCTGTATTATTGTATGGAAGCAAATGGGTCACATTTTCAACATTTGCTGAAGTAGGATTCTACTAAGTCAATTACACATTTCAAAGTACTGGGTTGTAGTTGTTTTTCTTCATAATACCTACATGTTTGAGTGAAATACAACAAATTAGGTATCATTGGAAAGATAATTTTGTGCCCTTTCAAATGATATATCACTCGACCCCACTTTCTATTTAAAATTTTAGGGTTGTTACTCACCCTCGCTAGGGGGTTGAAGGCACAGGTAGAAAAATACATCTAAAATGTGTCCCCTTCAAAAGCAAAATTGACCTGTCCGAGCATTTTTGCGTTAAGTTACAAAAAAAAGAGAAAAGCTAAGTGCATACTTTTCGTTGGACCACTCTGTATGAAGGGCCCAATGTAAAAAACGAGGTTCATTATCTGTGCTATATATTTTCGAACAGATTCAAGTGGTTGTGTTGACACCTCATGTCACTTTCTAAAAGGTTTCACTGAAATCAAAATTCTGACAAAATATGGAACCCCATTCTTTTTCCACTGGACTGAAAGTACTCAAATCTCAAATTTGATCTTCTACAACTCACTGAATAAAGCTATACTCCAGTTGACAATTTTTGATGTTTCCTTTGTAGGGTATTTATTATTGTTCAAATTGAAAACCATCCTGAAATTATTCCACATATATTGCTCAACATTTTCTGTTTTGTTCTCTTTCACGTCTAGTCCTGGATAAGTCTCATCCGCAGATTGATCATATCTGAAAATTCACATAAACATCAAACTACCTGTTTATATCGAATTATACGAAAAAATATAACCATTTCAATTCAAAGAAAATGAATGTTATGTACAAACGATAAATGAAGGGTCTTTCATTAGGTAAACTTATTTCACTCTTTACTTACCTCAAAATCAAAACCGAAATAGCTACAATGGTATATGCCAATAGAGTACCAATTGACATCATATCAATCAATTGATCTACATCGAATATAGTTGCCATTATACCTACAAAATATTCAGGTTACTTCCAGTAAATAATCAAACACTGTTTAGTTTCTCACCTGCGAATATTCCCGAGGAGAATGTTGATATAATTGGTGTTTGCGTCCAAGAATTCACTTTAGACAAATTTCGGAAAATTATTCCATCGTTAGCCATAGCATATATAACACGTGGTAAAGGAAACATAGCTCCAAGTAAACTAGTGCAAAGTGCAAAAATGGCACCGACCGTGACAATCCATTTTATAGTATACCAACCAAGCTGATCGAAGACATATGGAAACGGGGCATCGGAATCCTTAAAAAAACGAACATTTTCATGAAATTTGATATGATATTTCTATTGCTACACTAACCTGTAAATAGTAAGGCCAAACCATTGTCAAGACAGCTGAAATTGCGAAATAAGCTGCAAATATAATAGACAAAGATATGACGATGGCTAGGGGAATATCTCTCTGAGGATTTTTAGCTTCCTCGCCAGTTGTAGCAACTGCATCAAATCCTACGAAGCCGTAAAAGCATTTTGCAGCTCCCGCAGTTACACCTGCAATCCCAAAGGGCAAAAATCCTCCAGTACCAGCATCCGATTTGTACTTTTGATCTATTTTATCAATATCGATTTTCCAGTTATTGATATCAGCTGAAACATATCAAAAGTAATTTGTTTAAAAATCAAATGAAACGTATATATGTATGTATTATTATTATCATCATTATTATTATGGTGAGTCATTAGCCGTTTGGATTAGCGTGAGTGGTTCGTTACGTTGGACGATCGATTTAAAACTTTCAAAGACTATAATGGTGACAGTTTCAATTAGCTTGTAGGTCTTCTTGAGTTCTAATATTTTGAAGTTTTCAAGTGCCAGATCTAAGATGATGTGTTCTCATTCCCAAAAGAAATTTCAAACCCAGAACATAATATTCTTGAATAAAAACATGTATAAGAGAAGGGACTACAATCAAACATAATTGGCAAAAGTAAACTCGGCATCCAAAGGGAACTCGGGGGTAAAATCCAAGAAGCATAGAGGAAATTCCAAAAACTACATCATGAGGTTCAAGAACTTAGCGAAACAACCTAAGATGTCGAAAAAAAATTAATGAATAGAAAGAAAAGTATATATTGCAAATTGACTAAAAACAAACGATTAGTTTAGCTCTCAAAGCATCGCTAAAGTCGTAGGCAGAATCTTGTCAGAAGCATTTCAAACCAAAAAGAAGAGTGAACAACAGTTCATTTCAGAAAAAAGTGAAGTTCTTAGGTCATCGTTAAAATCGCAGACATAAACATGTAGTTAAGAAGAACACTCCATCAGCCTACCAAAAATAATCAATCTAAATTTTCAACGAGCCATAATCAACCAATTTGAGGAAGGGATTAGCCACGACAACTATTTTGGTATTCCTTCGTGAAAAAGTATCTTCCATTCTGGGTATCGATTCTGTGTAATTCTTTTATAGGCTGAAGATTCTCATAGCGCTTTTTTTTCTTTGCGAAATTTCGGCCTTCAAATGATCCAATAACCCTATATAATATTCACTGTTCCGGTCTCAAGATAGTTGATGAATATTACACCAAGCACATCCGAAAATACCGCGGCCATAAACATTTCAACCAATTGTTGTGCTTTCGGGTACTTTGGACGAGGTTCACCAGTTGCTCTTCACTTAGATGACGATCGTTTTGATTCCGGAGTGAAGTTATGGATCCATGTTTCATCCATTGTCACATATCGTCGCAAAAAATTCCGGTTTGTTAAGTTGAAAAATGGTAAAACACTGCTCAGAATCATCAAAACGTTCTTGTTTGTAAACATGGAGCTCACGCTGCACCCACTTTGAACAGACATTTATCATAGTCAAATGGTCATGCAATATAAAGCCACCACGTTTTTTTGATATTTTCACAATACCCGTAAACTCACGCAACTTCACTTTTTGATCATTCAAAATGCATTACGGCAATCTCGTTTGGCCAATTCCTTGTTTTATGAGGAGAGACGAATCCCAGACAGCATTGGAAAGTTACTGTTGAGTGTCCACAGTGTTAGGATGGATGTTAATTGACCAATGAAATCATCTATAATCTAAGAGTAATACATCCTCAAATATCTCAATTTCGACCCAAGTGCTTTTTCGGTGTAGCTCAATTTTTCGCCAATATCTTGAAGATCGGTTTGTTTTTCATTAATTCTATTAACGTCCTCATGTAAACCTTCTGAAAGATAACGAAGGAAATCCTGGGCGATTTGATAGCATGAACCATGTATCGAGAGTCAAATCTTTGAATCTGACTTTTTGAGGAGACTGTGTTTACTACCCTGTCAGATGAATCTTCTGACCACAACTCTTTGATAACTTCGTCAAACGCTTTGATTAAAGCGCGAATACTAGTATTTGTAGTATGGTGTTTGATAAACATTGGATTATACTCTTCATGAAACAGGTGTTGCCAATATTTCTCAACCCATGCAGCCCAAGAGTTTTGACTAAAGAATGTATCACTGATCTAATATTGTAGTTGTTGATGCTACGTTTGCCACTGCTGTTTTTTTCAGAGTAATCACGAATGCTCTAGCTCGGGCCTGAATGTATCCCAGACCGAATATATGGCTAGTCAGTAATAAACAAGCAGCATTTAAACATTTGTTTGATTATAACCTTAAACACAACAAATGCGATGATTTTTCTCATCATTGAACCAGCAGAATAAGTGATTAGAAGTTGAATTGCTCAAAACTAAATATGGCAGAACTTTTGAGTTTGGGAGATGATGATAACTCCAGAACTTGTTCATATTTTTCTGCATTTTTTGAAAAATTCGAAACATGGTCAATTTATTCACTCCATTTTGGGTAAACCATAGGAAATTTTGTTTCAATTTGTGGACGAAAGAGTACCCAATACCGATGTGGTATTATCTCTTTGAATGGCGATACTAATGCTCTGAATTAAAAATGATTAGGCTCTGTTATCATCCGGAGAGTTTAGCATTCTTTCACCAATTATTTTTTTATTTTCATTTCGTACTCCTTTTATTCTATTCTTATTTTCAGATAGTTTTTTAGAAAGTTTCGAACTCAATGGATCCTTAGATTTTATTAATATACGGGTTCATCCAAATTAGGTGTTCATCATGGGTATCTTTATTATTAATGTGGTAGAGTTTTTTGCGCTCATGAAGATTCAAAAAAGAAAAAAGAATTGAGTAACGTATTTTTGACTTTTTGAATAAAATGGCATTTTTCTGGTAGAAAATGATTTTTCAAGCTTGCGACAGGTTTTTTGTGAAGTAAAATGAAGTAGCTATGATGAATCAGATGAATTTCAATTTAATAAGTCGAGTCAATCAATTTCTTCTCCTCAGGAAAAAGTCAAGCGAGTGAAGTCGGCAGACCTGCAAAGCCATTGGATAAAGTCACGTATTTTCATTCATTCATCTCTAAGAATTGCCACCATAAACTGATTTGTTCCTTTACAGTTATGAGTAAGTCTCCATCCTGTTGGAAATACAAATTGTGCCTACTAATGAGGTCGATAAACCTTTCATATTGAAACTCATTCAATTGTAAAACGTACCCGGGGACCTCTGGGATGTATAAAAGATTTTCTTCGACCAGAAATGCTGATGTTTATTCGATATATTGGCCATAAAACATTGCAGAAATTTCGCACATTCTGTTGACAGCAATGAAAAACCAAAAACAAGTTTTCTCTCTGGATCCTCTCTCAGCACTGCACTGCAGAGCTGTCTACACTGCACCATAAGATGTATTGGTATTTTTGACAAGATTTCGTCCAGAGAAGTCTCATAGTAGGCTTCATCATTTTGAAATCTTTGGTACACTTCCAAAAGATATATTTGATCCGGAGAAACACAATCAGGGTATCGAAGAACATTTTCTGCTTACATTTTTCGTAGTTAAACGAAGCAAATTCCTGGTTTCATTCCATTCACGGAAAATGAATGATTCAAATGAATCATATGTATTAATTACAAAATTCAGTTATTGATGGAGGAATCTTGAAGCTATTTGAAATTTAACTTCATGTAAAAAGTTGATTAGGTACAGTTTTTTTGTGAAAGAGTTCAAGCTAGACTCTCTCCATGTCACGGATATATAAATATATCAGTAATATGAAGAAATAAATTGATGGATGTAGTCGTTACTACGTAGTAGATCATCATGAAAAAATGAGAGATAAAGCTTTCTGTTTTTCCACCACTTTCATTTGTAACTAATGTTGTTACAGCAGTTACTTTATTGTAATTGTTGTTTGAAAATGTCCTTATAGAACGAAACTGTAGCAACAACGTTAGTTACGAATAAAAGTTTAAATCTGTTTAAAATCTGTTTTTCCGTTATTCAGCTGTCGCCCCCATACGAACGACAACTCTCAGAAGTTGAGAAACTTGTGCGAGCTAAGGACTAACGGGGTCTTACCTTTTAACGTGTGATTCCTAACACGATTGCAGAATCATTCCAGCTTCAACCAGATAAATTCTCCCGAGAAAAATATCTGGTCGAGGCGGGAATCGAACCTACGGTCTTCCAATCGTGAGTCGGGCGCCCTACCACCGCGGCCAAACAAACAAACAAAAACAAATAGTGGTAAAAAACATAAAAAGTTTTATTTCTCATTTTTCAATATGAATAAATATTCCCTGAACAAAAAAATTTTCCAAGTTTTTTCCATTCGAGGCTAAACTGATGAAAACGTCACCAATTAACTAATAATATTATTATTATCACAGGTAAATGCCAACAATGGTTTTTATTACTGCATCAGTATGAAAATCCAAATGAATTGTTGACGAAATTGTTCTGTCGTCTAGAGGAATTCATGATTTTTCGCAGATATGCTCGTAGTATGGAATAAAGATGTGGTATAGGCCTACGCAAAGTTTCTTTTGAACTTTTTTTTCTTTGTGCGTTTATTGAACTTTCTGTACATTTTGATCTCATAACAGAAACAATATATGTCTGATCAAATACAAAGAAATATTTCAAACTTTACGATGTTGATTTTAGTTTCAAAAGTCGTATAACGTATTTGCATTGCAATCGCAAATTGTGACTTAAATAAATTTCAAATTCATCTGATATGTTATCACTAGACACTACGCAGTATGTGCAATTAAGGTAATGCATTATTTAATTTTTATGAACGACTTCGACATATTTCTAATGCATGTACAAGGTGTATCGTAAGAAATGACCTTAATTTAGAGACAATTCCTTGCATTAGATTAAAAAAGTTCATTTGTACTTATCCCTAACTTGCTTCGTTTGTTGAAAAGTCGAACGTCAAAGATTTTTGTGTGAAATTAAAGGCACATAGAAGGAGTGGGTCGTGATTTCACTTTCAATTCTTTATATTCAAAGTAAATAACGTTTTAGAAAGATTGAAAGTATTCCTAGACTATGATTGTTGCTTATTTACACACTATAAAAAAATTATTAAATGCCTAGAAAAATAGTTCATTTAACAGATATTTACGAAATAACAATTCAACAATTCAACGTGTTAGGAATCACACGTTAAAAGGTAAGACCTCGTTAGTCCTTAGCTCGCACAAGTTTCTCAACTTCTGAGAGTTGTCGTTCGTATGGGGGCGGCAGCTGATTAACGGAAAAACAGATTTTAAACAGACAGATTTTTTAAACAAATGATTGGTTATCGGGATAACACAAAGACACGAATATAAGATACTTTATAAAAAAATTACAAATTTGTCGCCTAGATCCCAAAGTAGTTTCGCAATCTTTGATGTGTGAGGTATGTGAATTAAATGACAAACAACCCCAAGGTTCGATGTTACCCCTATTGATTATTCGAACATTAAAATAAAATGCATTCCTATAAAATGAAATCAATCTTACGAGCTGATGAATGACGATTTTGAGTGGAGAACGTATTTTTGTGAACAAATCATGACAATCAAAACATGTTTTGTTATAATTGTATATCTGATAGATACCTAGTTTTCTAAATTACTTGACTTGGTTACCAGAAGAAAGAAATACAAATGCACGGAACCACCACACATTTGTGGTTTCAGTTAATAGATCTTGTGTTAACAAGATCTATTAACTAACAAAGGCTATCACTCGATAGCCTTTGTATTTGTATCATTTCCTAGATTTGGATGTCACGCGGGTAGCTATAGCTGCCTCCGTGGTGATTTGGATAGTTTTCTTGTAAACACAATTAACTGAAACCACAAATGTGCGGCTGGCGGTGGCTCCGTGTATTTGGATAGTTTTCTTGTAAACACAAGATTTATTAACAGATTGACGAAGTCACAAAAAAACGGGTCCCCAATTATACTGGGACTTTGCCCAAATTTTATGCCTTACCAAAAATACATAAACCAATTCTGTCTGTCAGACCCATTATTGCTTCAATTGGTACTCCAACTGATAAATTTGCATCATTTCCCATTGGAATTTTAACTAAAGCCTATGAATTCGAAAATCAGTATTTCATTAAAGATTCTTTTGATGTTTTCTCTACTTTCAACAATATGAAATTACTTACCAACTATGAAATTGCTAGCTTACATGTCGTATCTCTTTTCAGCAATGTCTATTTAGATGCTTGTCTCAGATCTATTGATAGAAAATGGGGGCGTATCAGTCAGTTTTGTGATATCAAAAAAATATCAAGTTGGTAAGTTGACTTGGGTATCACACCAATAGGTGGTTCCACTTATGTCTCGCTTACGTTTACGCAGTTATTTTTATTGAGTACTTTTCTTGGTTTTTCATATTTTGTCTTCAATCGAGGACCGCCTGCCCGGTACAGACGATGCCCAATAGGCTGAAACAGCTGTCTACCGGTGGCTCTTAAATTGAAATCAATATGGGAATGATCAGAATGGTACTTATTTATTAATCTTTTGATTTTCATGGAATTATTTTCCAGCAGCTTGAACTGCATTAACTTTTCTCGATTTCATATCATTTCTAAAAACATGTGGATTCGTTTTTCGATGACATTCCAGGTTAGCTTCTCAAATTTCTGCCACCGCAGTTGTCGGTTGATTGGTCAAACCACCAACACTGACATAAAAACTTGACAAGTTGACTTGGGTGTCACACCAATAGGTGATTTCACTTATGTCTCGCTTGCGTTTACGCAGTTATTTTTATTAAGTACTTTTCTTGGTTTGCCTGTCTTGATTAATCAGTCCAAAGGGTAAGGGAGCCAGGCTCCAACCTGTCTGAAATCAAGATGACCTTCCACTCTGTCTTGATTCTGACGTTAGCTGTCAAACTGACATACAGAATATTTTTCGCTGCGATAATTTCGAAGTTTTTTCCACAAATACGACTATTTCTGGTGGATGATCAGCCATTCACCTGTAGTTACATCTCTTCTATTAGTGAGTGCGTTGATTGTAGTGCGCAAGGACCCTCCAGACTTCTGGTGAGTGCATTCAAACTATCACTCTCACGGAACTCTTCATCGCCTACCCTTGGGATATCGAAGGGTGTGAGTTTTTCGACAGCAGTATGGAGGAACTGCTTGACAGCCTGATGGCCAGGGACAGGGGTGAAGTAATTACCTTCATGGGTTTATTGCTTGATCGCCTGGGTCTGAGTCCATCAGAGCTGCTAAGGAGCAGCCCCATGGCGGCAGTTCGGGAGCCCTCTGGCCCTCCACTAGGGGGCAAGCAGCTTCTCGAGCGTCCGTCACGGAATGTATCCTCCAGACATACTCCCGTCGGCACCACCCTCTCTGCTCAGTCTGAAACAAACAACGACGACAATACGATCAAGCCTCAAGAACCGGCCAACAAAAAGCGTCGCCTTCCAGAAGAGTTTCCTCCTCTTCCATCTAAACCAGTCGCTCCAGTGAACAAAAATACCGGCACCAAGCCCAAAAAAGTGGCTAAAATGATGTAAAAGCTCCGGGACGAAGCCAAGAACAACACTTCAGAGTCAGAACTTTCAACAACAGAGTCTTCCGTCGTAGGTGACCATGAAATGTAGGTTGACGACAATAGGTCTGAAAAATCGATTTCGACTATACATGGTGGCCCAAAACAGCCATCCCAAAATGTAAATCAGGTTGAAAACCCCAATAATCAGGGAACTAGCTCCCCTTTCCCTCCGCGTCCTGAGGTGCCCCAAAGCACCAGAAAAACACTCGTTTCCCCAATTGTCGTTCGCCAGAAGGACAAGATGGTTCAATTCACAAAGCTGGCTGCCTTCCATAAGGTTAACTTTACCAGGGCAGTAAACATGGCTGACGGCATCAAGGTTCAGCCTTCTTCGGCCGAGGACTACAGGAGTATGTCCAAACTATTGGTGAGGGAAAAATCCCCCACCACACGTATACCTCACCTGAAGACAGGCAAAACAGAGCCGTCTTCAGAGGAGTCCCGGAACATCTGGAGACCGACGATATCAAGGACGCCTTGGTTGAAAAAGTTTTTCAACCATCATCCGTCACCAGAATGATGCGAGGAAATCGACCGCTCCCCCTGGTTTTGGTTCAAGCGAACCAAAATTAGAAGCATATTTATGACGTCCGGGATCTCCTTAACATCAAAGTTAAGGTTGAGCCCCAACACCAAAAAAAACTGGTAGGGCAGTGTCACCTATGTCAGCGGTTCGGGCATATCTAACGGAAATGCCTAGCTATTCCAGGTGGGTGTGAGAAGCCACGAGCAGTTCCGCCCAAGTGCAATAATTGCAAGGGTGTGCATACTGCAAACTACCGCGGTTGTCCTGAGTTCCCCAGGGTTCGCAGGAGGACCAAAGTAGTTGCAAATGCCCCCCTAAATGCACCCACACCTGGAAGGCATTCTGCCGGAGCATCTGGCACACGCCCGGGAATGAGCTACGCAGGAGCGGCCAAGAGCGGTAACACCTCCGCCAGGCCGACTGAGGCGCCCAGTAGTCCCCGCCCGTCGAAGGTTAGTGACATCTGTTCCGCTCTGGACCAGATGAAAAAACTCTTCATTTAGTTCCCCGTACTCGAAAAGATGTTTACGGTGAACACCAACGTGCTAACTGGAACCTGTTAATGGCTAGACAACCAACATTGCCTAGTTCTCTTAAGGTTTTATTTTGAAATGCCAACAGTATTTCAAACAAGAAATAAGATTTTGAGAATTTTCTAATACAACAAAACATCGATGTTGCACTGGTGCAGGAAACGCACCTGCACAATGAACCTTTTGGTATTCCAAACTACCGTTTTAACCACAGAGAACGCGTTGGACGTGCTGGAGGAGGAGTTGGCATGTTTGTCAAACGTAATCTTCCTCACGTACAATTCGGCATTGACTCGGATCAGTTACATGGCACGTAATCCGTGTGCGTTGAGCACCAACTGAGAAGAGGTGGTCATAGACTAATCTCAGTTTACAACCTTCCGCGGAATCGTCTACTCCCAGAATCACTGGATGAACTGCTGATGTCGGCAAATACCCCCACAATTGCTGCTGGTGACTTCAACGCCAAGCACAATCTATGGAGCAGACTCACCAATGCGAACGGCCGAGCGCTCCATGCGCATGCTGACAGGCATGAGTATCGAGTGATGGGTCCAGATGAGCCCACGTTCTACCGTGGGGGTGTAAGTCGTGACTTGCATGATATCGCACTGCTCAGGAACGTCTCCATGTCCTGCGAAGTGTACACTTTGTAGGAATCTGACTCAGATCATAATCCAGTCATCCTGATGCTGGGTGATGATCCCCCTCCCCAGGATTTTCGCATGAGATCATCCACGGATTGGGAAGCCTTCAAGGCTCACCTAGGGGAGACACGTACAGACCGTGATGCGCTTCAAACTCGCAACGGTCTCGACGCGGCAGTGGCAGATTTCGAATTGTCTGTGAACAACGCTTTCCGCGCAGCCACAACCAGGACAGAGTNAGTCTATATTTCTGACTATTTACAAAAAAAATTAAATACGCTTTCTTTATTTTCCTATATCTCTTTCCGCTAGGGCGTGGTTATGTATTTCAGTCCGAAATAGTAAAATCCAAGTCCTCCACAGGAGTATTAAATCATTCAAGTATACAAGTAGTACCTATAACAGATACTTCAAAATACTGAATAATGAACCGTAAATTCCTAGAAAAATCGTAACTGAATTGACTCAAGTAACAATCTCAATTGAAACGAAAGTAATCATTTGTTCAAATTGAAAGGGTTACATTTTTAGGCGAAACATCGATGTCTACCAGTGAGGACGACATTGTTCCATATAAGTGAAATTTTTAACTCTCATTTAGTATATTGTGTAGAAATCCTGTGAATGACATCTGATTCAGTTTTATAAGGAATCTTTGAAATACAAACTAAGTAGGGAAAAGTGTTTTCTGTATAATTCAGTGTTCATATAAAAGTAATTGTCTCGAAAAAAAATCTCTCGTGTAATTCAATATGTATATGAAAGTAACTGTTTCAGGAGGAGTGGTCTTCCAGTTTGTGTGAAATTTACTTCTTTGCATGATCTACACATCTATGTATAGAGTTACTTCTTTTGAAATTGATTACTTCCTTCGTTTCTTTGGATGCTTCCCACATTTTTTGTATCAAGATGGAGTAGTAGAAAGTCAAAAACTTTCTTTCCCAATAATCATTCGTCTATTACAATATTGCTTCATTTCAATCGGAAATGAGTTAATGAAATTGGATTTTCCTTCCATTCAACAATTTTGGAAGCCGTCAGATGTGAATAATTTCTTACTGTAATGGAAATCAGTTGATCACCTCAAATGTCCAATACATATATATATGAAAATATCATTTCAAACTTCTTAGTTACCAGTCTCCTCTACTTTTCATTTCGTGAATTTTAGTTAGCTCGTATCAGAAGGCCTAGTAATCTTATCATCAATTATTTTTGTCCTCGCTGCGAAAAATAACGAACTAATTTCGATCCAACTTGCACTGAAATTACAGTTTCAATGATATTATTGTTAAAAAGCCGGTAAAAATAAGAATTACCTATTTCACTAAAAAAAATACAACATGAAGAGATTGTATTTAGTATAACCACTAACTAGAATATTAAAAGTTCTGTAGTCTGATAATATGTATATGAATACGATATTTGATAGAGATAGATACAACTCAAATATCAATGAAAAATATATAATCAGAAGATAGTTTGACAATGTCATAAAAACAGACCTAAGCTTACTTATGAAATGACATATAAAAATATGTAATATCGCTGAATGTAGCATGGAAGCAAATCAAAACATTGACGCCAGCTGTAAAAGCCTACATTCCTATAATGGTAAAGATATTATATGAGGAGTTCTCAGATATTGCCAAACAATTTTAAGCATACGTAGTAATAAAAGTGCCTACACAATCCACCAGTACATCATAAAACCCAATCTGAATAATGAATTTGGATAACACGATCTCTAAAGATTGCAACCTTAGTCAGCTCCCATTTCAAAATCTGGT